GATTTTTTTCAGATTCCAAATAATTCAGATTTTAAGAATGTTATCTTTAGCACCAGAGCATTTGAATTTGATGAAATTCACGCCATGCCGTACTAATAAAGTGCGCGTTGAGACACAAAGAGCTGGCTAACTAAGGAGAGCAGCCAAAGAGGCCGGGGCTGGGATTCCTCCCTTCCTTCTCCTCCCCGCAGCAGCAGCAGCAGCAGCAGTAGCAGCTTGCCTTCATCCCTTCCTGAAAGCCACAAAGAGAGAGGCTGCTGCCTAGCGGTGGCAGAGAAAGGCAGAAAGCCTTCCGCTGTCATGGGTCACCAGGGGCCACTGGACAAGGCAGGATGGAGGGGAGGTCTCCCGGCTCCATCCCCTCAAAGCCTCTGCTCTGGGCAGCACTAGGGCAGGGCAGGCTCTGTGGCCAGCTGTCAGTACCCAGTGACCATCTCCTTTCTCTGTCAGAAGTGGGCTAGATGGGACACAGCACCTGCCAGAACTGGCTCACAGGACTCCTGCAGGCAAGCAGAGAAGTCCTCTAAAGTCCTTGTCAATGAGGCACCATCGGCATTAACCCAGTTTCCAGAATAGGATTAGGGTGGTCCTTTCAACACTCCAGCATATTCCTCAAGAACCTGACAATAAATACAAAATTACCACTGATTAAGATAGCTCATGGCACAAATTCTAGACAACCAGTGAATATTAATGTGGGAAGGACAGCATTTCTAATCAGTGTGCCCATATAAAAAAGTTATTTTAAAATGAGAGAAGTACAGGGATATAAACAAAAAACACTCCTAAGGAGTGATAGATTGTAACCTTGGTTACAATCCGGATTACACCAGCTCCAGAGTGTTCTAAGTAGCCTGGAAACACAGGATGTCCCTCTATGACTCCAAACAGAAGAGCACTCTCCCAACCTGTAAACATCAGAGTAGGATGGGGGAACAGGAGATGTTTTCTCTAGACTTGCTACTACAACTCTGGTTCTGTATGGCACATCACACACTGATGTCTTCATTTTAAAATGGATATAGAAGAAAAGGATGTAGAAAAATTTCCTCGGAAATTATCTGAAGACTGTGAGGGAAAAAAAAAGTCCTGCACTGAGGGCTGTCTGCTGTGATTCAGTGATGTTATGAATCTCGTTTAGGATACCTCAGTTCAAATAAAAACATATTGTAGCTATTTGACAACACGTCCAAAAGCAGGACAGGTTAATTATGCCGGCTTAAACCTGTTCCTAAATTTATGAAAAGGTAATTTTATCCTGACCAACTGCATGTCGGATGAAGTGTCATGTGTCTGCACTACTCTAACTCTGTGTCAGATCAGGTAATGTCTGTTCCCCTACATCTGGCATAAATCCACCACAAACCCATAAATTCAGCATAAATACCACATCGTGTGCAGTAATTAATGCACCAGAAATATGATCATGTGCTCCTATATTATCTGGATCAAACTGATGCTGACAGAGGACTTGACAGCTCTGTAACAAGCAAATTAAAACATGATCCAATATCGTGTAAGTGATATTACGGCAAAAAAAAATACTGAAGGACACTATGGAGGGCTTTAAATTAGTACAGGGTGAGTAGAAGGAGCAAGGTCCAGTGGATGAAAATCAATACCAGTCAAATTTAAGCAAGGCATTTTAAACATGTTTAAGTAAGGGTAAAAGAATTCAGAAGATAACACTACCAAAGAAAACACTGGATTTCTCCATTAAAAAAATGAGAAATAGGTGCTTCGATCTAAAAGAAACTACTGGGGCAACACAGCTGGAAGGTAGAAGGAAGGTAGAAGAGCTGAGCACAGCAATCTTTTGTAAGCCTGTGTTTCTCCATTATGGACTATAATGTCCTCCTCAAATACATTTGCTATAGTAGATGAGACAAAATTAGGAATTATAAAAGCTTCCCTGTGGAGAGAAAGAAGTCACTAAATTATGCAACAATATACAAAGAAACTGTTTCATAAAAACACAGAGGAATGCTTAAATACAGATACCAGATGATCAGGAGTAAAAGTAGGAGTGAATTAACAAAATACATTTATAATTAAGAATGTAACACCTTTATTCATTTCAAAATTTTAAAGCCAGAAAATGAAGTAGGCTACACCCATTAGGTAAATGCAATTTTATTACTAATTGATTTAATACTTTACTCATTATCCTTGCAGTCAAGTTTAATCACAAAAGTATTTGAAACTTTTATAATTTATAATTAATAATTTATAATTAATTTAATTATAATTTTGTTAAATTTTATTTTATAATTTTGTTAAATTATTCCAAGTAAAGATAATTTAAAAAAACAAAAACAAAAACCAAAAAAAAAACAAAACCAAAAGAAAACCCAAGAAGTCAAACTAGATCCTGACTATTATGTCAAACTACTGAATCTATTTTGAAACATTGTATGGCATTGGAACATTCTAACTCAGTGTCACCAGTACCCTTTGGTAATATGATTTATTCAATGTCATTTTATAGACAAACAGCCGTAGTATGCAAGTGCACGTAATTCGTAAGTGCACTTCTTTCTACCCCGTTTTAAGCTCTGCAATAGGACAGCTTGCCCACCAGCATTGTCACCAGGATGTGGTGGTGCTCGGAGTGGAACAGGGAAGCCATATAATATCCATAGAAAGCCATATACCTAAGTATATGAGATCCTGCCTAGAAAATCCAGGAGCTGCAGGTGGGCTTGGACTGGAGCTGGTTCTGGATGCCAAAATCTGTGAATGCCCAGTGATCAGGGATATCTCCTCCACTGTTGTCGTCTTCCTCCAAGGACTGAGTAAATCCCATTTTTTCAATAAAAGGCTTAATCCAGATTAGAGTTATTGTGTCGCTTACTGCTGCTAAGAATTTCACCCAACCTTCAGAGGGTCCAAGTAACTAAAAAGCCAAGGTAGCCAAAAAGTCTAGAAAAGAAGAAACTCTGCAGAAACTCTGTTTAACTGTAAGATACACTAATGGCTAAAAAATTCTCTGTAAGAATAAATCATTCTACCTGCTAGAAATTGTAGATAACAATTAGCTGTGCTGATTGTTAAAACTTTAATGTTATCAGTAATTCTCTAATCATAAAAACAGCCATGTGGCCATAGGTCATTCTACCAAGGATCCCTCAAAGAACCTACTTGACCTATGGTAAGGTGAAACCCAGAAAATCTTCTATTTTGTGATTTTGCTGCTTTTTTACATAAAAGCAGAGTATGAATATTTAATACAACGTTTCAAACATTAATTGATTCAGCAGAATGTCAGAATGGCTTGTGTGAGAAGGGGCTGCAGCCTGTGAGAATAATACTGGAGTAACATGCTGTATTAAAAAGTTTTATACAGACTTGGTTACAGTGAGGGCTTTTACAAGAGAAGTATACTCCAGCAACAGATGGGAAGATCCCTGAACTGTCTGGGAAAAAAAACCAAACAAAAAACATATGAAAACACAGTGACTTTTGCCTAAGCCCAGCAGTAAATTTGGAAAAGAAGCCACAGAGTCAATAGATACATGCATACTGCTAGGGTAACATTTCTTTCAGTTGTCCAGTGGTGTTCACTGGTAGTTGTGTTTCTCAAATAATCAGAAATTCTTTATAATAACAGAATGGATTAAACTAAATTCTGTATGTAATCAATACATCTAGCTTTCTGGAAGCCAAATATGTTATGGGTGTGTCCTCCAGCTGACTCCTGCAGCAAAGACAATGGGACTGATAACAAATACATGTCTAAAATAGTGCTTTAGTACTGTAAACAATTCTCTGTTTCGAATTTCTCCACAACAGCCTTGAGTTTCTATCCCTAAACCATCTGGTTTACTGCAACTGGACTTTCAATATATTGATTTTGGTTGAGTAGCAAATAATAATTTCTGATCAAATATTACAAGAATAATTTCTATTTCTATGAAGCAAACTAAAAAAACAGATATAGGAATGGTGGTGAAAAATGGCAAATCAAGCCAAGATTTTGAATCAGAAGTTACATTGCTCTTTACTACATAATGGCATAACATTTTCACATCCACTTGTCAGTGGTGAATAAAAACCATTTTTTCTCCATAAACAGATAACCAAAATGTAACTTTTCCACGAAAGAACTCCACAGAAAATGGAATTGGAACAGAAGATGGATTCTGGTGATATTCTCCAGAACCAAGTCCACTGACTGCAGAATTGGGTGACAACCGTAGAGCTATGTCTCTTCAAAGTTATTACCAACACTGCATGAAAACTCTACCCTTTCTTTGAGCTCCTGATTAGTAAATACAGAATTAATTAGAGTTACAGCATTCGTTGACTCTGACAAGACCAGGTTTCTAAAAAGAAAAGATAGGAAAGGGGGGGAAAAAACAACCAACAGAAATTGGTTCTCGGGTAGCGGAGGGAGAATGAGGGACCGAGCGAGATGAAGAGCCGCCTTTGGCGGGGTGGCACAGCGCTCCCGCAGCTCCCGTGCTGGCCCCGCACGGAGGGCAGATCCGTGCGCTCCCGGCGCTCCCTGGCTTTGCTCTCCCCATTCCCACGGCTGCCTTCGGCGCCCGGTGCTGTACGTGCGGCGCTTCTCCTGCCCGCAGCAAGCGCTTCCTATGTACCTTCACATCATGTTTGGACGAGTTTCATCCAAACCTTTGCTTCAGCTTAGCGAAACCTTCTTTTCTTTTTTTTTTTTTTTTCTTTCTTTATCTTTTTTTCTTTTTTTTTTCTTTTTTTTTTTTTTTTTTTTCCCTCCCCCTCAGAGAGCAATTCAAAGCATCCATCCTCTCCCCTGTTTCAAGCACCCGAGCACCACCTGCTCCGGGCCGGGACAGAGATGCCCACCCGGCCGGTCCCTACGCTTGGAGCGGGGTCCGGGGGCGCGGATGGCCAGCCGGACCCGGGAGGGAGCGATGCTGCGGCCAGGACCTGCCCCGGCCCCACCGCCCGCTCCCGCGGCTTCCCTCGGTTTGGTTTCCCGGGGCGAGGCGGCAGGGAGCCGTGCCCGGCGGCGGTACCTGTAGAAGTAGTGCCAGCAGAAGAGGCAGCAGAGGAG